TACAATAAAAGATATGCCAAGCATAAATGACCACCTTCGAATCCTACTAGACCAGCCTAAACCAATTATTACAATGAGTCTATAAAAACTCATGAATAACTCGAACAATTCTAGAAACAATCTCAGTTACTATTTGCACTTTTTATTAACAAAAATAATTAGTACATACTTAATTTAATGAATTTTTTATACTTAGTTTTGTATTAATTATTAAAATATATTATAAATACAATTAATTTAGGTAATTTTTACATTTTATATACATTATTATATTTTTAAATTAATCTATATTTAATTTTAAATTAAAATATACTAACCAGTGTCTACTAAACTAACCTAAAATTAGGAGGGGATGACCGCTCCATTGAACCCCCATGGGGGCTATTTGCATAACGCCTCGACACTAACTTGAAGATTAGCAATTAAAAATAACTCCATAATTTTGGGCTTTAAATCTGCCCAATTCAAATCATCTTCCGAAAAATTGGGGATATGATCAGACTTTTCCAGCTTCACAGCGATTGAGCTCAAGATTTCCTCCAAAAATTTCACCAAGAACCCAGCCGCCACTGCCAAGCCTCCATCCGAAGAAAAAATCCAGTTCGTAACGACCACCGCCTCTTACACCTAGGTTGATACCAACGCCATCATTTAAGCCCACCCACCCACATCTAAGGATGGCAATTTGCTTTGATTCCCGCGGGACCCTACGGGGATCACCGCCACGGGGACGGGGTGGGAAGGGGAAGTATTTTCTTCCCGTAAAAATTTGCGGGAATTTTTTCCCGTCTTGCGGGTCCCGTGGGGATTCTCATCCCTGCAAAAAATTAAAAAGAACATGTAAATTAGTTTTATTTTAAATTTAATTCAATTTTCAAACTTAAATCCAATTCAATAAAATTTAAATTTAATTCAATTTTATCCAACCTATTATTAACCTTTTAGTTATTTATGTTAGATTGATCTTTATTTATGTTTGGATAATTTATATTTAAAGAATTTTAATTAATTATACTTGAATTTTTAAAATTTTATTTATTATAATTAAATATTAATTAATTATATGTAAAAATTTTATTTTTTTATATTAATTGGTGGAGAATGAGGATCCCCCGCGAGGAACGGATATGGGAGGCAAAATTTACTCCCCGTTAAAAATCTTCGCGGGAATCTTCGTCCCCACCATTCGCCAGGATGGGGACAGGGAATGACTCCCCGACTCCGCGAGCCCCGTTGACATCCCTACCCATATCTCTACCCCAATCTTCATTCAATCCCTCCTCCTACTCCAAACATCCCAAAATCAAAACATAAACTTCCACCACCAGAGCCGACAACAACATTTCCGTGCCCACCCATGGCCATGAGTTTAGCATATCACCAAAACCCCGCATGCCTTTCGCTGCATAACACACCAAATACCTCCAGCTATCGAACCATCCTAAGCCATTGCAGGAAAGAGTAGCACAAGGAAAACTCGACACTGCCAACAACGAACGCGTAACTCTCATTTTGAAAAAAAAAAAAAAAAAAACTTGGCCTAGCAAGCTGCGACAAGGATAATTAATTAAAATAAATAAATAATGATAAAATAAAAATAAAAATATTTATTTATTAAAAAAATAAAAAATAAATTTAAAATAAAAAATTACAATTATTTAAAAATAAAAAATATTAATTTTTAATATGTGGATTCCATCACCCTATATGTTTAGATTTGAACTATTTTTTAATAGATTTCTAAAAAAATTATCCATTGAATAATTTTTTTTAAAAAAAAATTATATACTAGTATTTTTTGAGAATTTTAGGAAGATATTTGTTATTACAGTAATTTTCTACATAGTTTCTTTTTTTTTGGTACAATAATTTTCTACATAGTTAAGATAAGATTATAACTGTAGCTTAATTTCTTGCTTTATACGACATCAAACCACTTGCTATTGCTAAACATCATGTATAAGATCAGTAGCATTAGTTGCTAGGCACCACATAAATTTGAATATTAGACCTTAAACTACAAATTAAGAATTTTAAGTTATAATATGTTTGAATTGAGGGGAATGGAGAGGAGTAGAGAGGAAGATTTTTTATCAATCATATATTTAAATCATAAATTGCAATCTAATTGATAAAAAAATTCATTCTTCCCCTCTATTTTTTTCAAACTAAACACACTATTAATGAGTAGTAATTCAACTAAATTCTTATTGATACAAAAAATTAGTACTTTAAAAGCTATTAAATGCACCTTTCTCCTACCAGTTCTATGTAATTTCTAAATGCTCCAAACACTGGAAGGTATCCAACGTATCTATTCTTTTTCCTTTTGGTTTTTTCTCGTGTTGCTGATGTTGGAATAACATTATATGAATAGTCTAAATTTTCATAAGTATTTGCGTTAGCATGCCCATGACTGCTATTTCTGGGGATGTTCTGCTGCTTGTACCTGCATGCA